TTCTTTTTTTAAAAGATTTTATTTATTTATTTAACAGAGAGAGAGATCACAAGTAGGCAGAGCGGCAGGCAGAAGGAGAGGGAGAAGCAAGCTCCCTGCTGAGCAGAGAGCCTGACGCGGGGCTTGATCCCAGGACCCTGGGATCATGACCTGAGCCAAAGGCAGACGCCTAACTGACTGAGCCACCCAGGTGCCCCTAAAAATAATTCTGAATTTTATTTGTGAGCTATACATCCTTCAGATTTTTCCAGGTGTAAAGAAAGCCATCTCAATTTTTAATAAATTATTTAATTAACTAATTTAGTTGTTATGAAGCACAACAGGTTAATTACTCTAGTTATATAATTTTTCACATTTTAATCTTCATTATAATCCTATGAAGCTTATTCTACTGCTTTTAAAGAGGGGGAGACTGAGATAATGCAAATAAAGTATTAACTCAATGTCTAACTTCTAAGTGCTTAATAAATGCTAGCTATATTGATTCCTCATTCTGGGATTATTTTAGTATTTTGCATTTTTGCAAGTGCCTAATAGTTATAAATATACCCAGTTATATTGAAACAAAGGCAGAAACAGTTCCCATAACATGCTTAAAATTTATGAGCCACCTGTAAATAGGAATAATATATATATCTGATATGCCAAAGCAAATTGGAGTTTTCCTATTTCATTGTATCCTAGATGCCATCAATTAAATGACACATTATTTTATGTACTACTTAAAAAAAATGCTGTCAGTTAAGGTAGGACACAATGTTACAACACCAACAGTAGGATGCATTCTGATTTTAAAGACATTAAAGTGTGAAAAAAATATATTGTAGGATCAATAAAATATAGTAATTGGCTTTTTGAAATTAGACTACTACTACCAATCTTTGAACATTTAGAACATTATGTAGTATATTTTAAACATTATCAAACTGTTACTAAGTTTATCAAATTGTTTATAGTATTAAATTCTCAAAAGTGAAGGAAATAATCACCAAAACTAAAAGGCAACCTATGGAATGGGAGAAGATATTTGCAAATGACATATCTGATAAAGGGTTAGTATCCAAAATATATAAAGAACTTCTAAAACTCAACACCAAATAATCCAAATAAAAAATGAGCAGAACACATGAATAGACATTTTTCCAAAGAAGTCATATAGATGGCAAACAGATACATGAAGAGATGCTCAACATCACTGATCATCAGGGAAATACACATCACAACTACCATGAGATACCACTTCATACCTGTCAGAATGGCTAAGATCAGTAACACAAGAAACAACAGGTTTGGGGGAGGATATGGAGAAAGGGGAACCCTCTTACATTGTTGGTGAGAACACAAACTGGTGCAGCCACTCTGGAAAACAGTATGGAGTTTCCTCAAAAAGTTAAAAATAGAACTACCCTATGATCCAGGAATTGCAGTAGTGGGTGTTTACCCAAAGAATATGAAAATACTGATTCAAGAGGATACATGCACCCCAGTTTATAGCAGCATTATCTACAATAACCAAATTATGGAAACGGCCCAAGTGTCTGTTGATTGATGAATGGATAGGAAGATGTGGTGTGTGTGTGTGTGTGTATAATGGAATATTACTCAGACATAAAAAAGAATGAAATCTTGCCATTTGCAACAATGTGGATGGAGCTAGGGAGTATTATGCTAAGTGAAATAAGTCAGTCAGAGAAAGACAAATACCATATGATTTTACTCATATGTGAAATTTAAGAAACAAAGCAAATGAACATGGGGAAAAAAAAAGGCAAACCAAGAAGCAGATCCTTAATTTTAGAAACAGACTGGGGGTTGCTGGAGTGGAGGTGGGGGGGATGGGATGGTTTAAACAAGTGATGGGCTTTAAGGAGGGCACTTGTGATGAGCACTGGGTGTTATATGTAAGGGATGAATCACTAACTTCTATACCTGAAACTAATATTTTACTGAATGTTAACTAGCTGGAATTTAAGTAAAAACTTAGGGAAAAAAAGAAATAAGATAAAATGAAAAAGCAAAAAAAAAAAAAAAAGAAAGAAATGGGGGGGCAAACCAAGAATCAGAAACAGACTTTTTTTTTTTAAATTTTATTATGTTATGTTAGTCACCATACAATACATCATTGGTTTTTGATGTGGTGATCCACGATTCATTGTTTTCATATAACACCCAGTGCTCCATGCAGTACGTGCCCTCCTTAATACCCATCACCGGGCTAACCAATCCCCCCTTCCCCCTCCCCTCTAAAACCCTGTTTGTTTCTCAGAGTCCATAGTCTCTCATGGTTCATCTCTCCCTCCAATTCCCCCCGCCATTTTTCCCTTCCTTCTCCTAATGTCCTCCATGCTATTCCTTATGTTCCACAAATAAGTGAAACTATATGATAATTGACTTTCTCTGCTTGACTTATTTCACTTAGCATAATCTCTTCCAGTCCCATCCATGTTGATGTAAAAGTTGGGTATTCATCCTTTCTGATGGCTGAGTAATATTCCATTGTATATATGGACCACATCTTGTTTATCCATTCATCTGTTGAAGGGCATCTCGGCTTTTTCCACAGTTTGGCTATTGCGGACATTGCTGCTATGAACATTGGGGTGCATATGGCCCTTCTTTTCACTACATCTGTGTCTTTGGGGTAAATACCCAGGAGTGCAATTGCTGGGTCATAGGGTAGCTCTATTTTTAAATTTTTGAGGCACCTCCACACTGTTTTCCAAAGTGGCTGTACCAACTTGCATTCCCACCAAGTGTAAGAGGGTTCCCCTTTCTCCATAACCTCTCCAACATTTGTTGCAGAAACAGACTCTTAACTACAGAGAACAAACCGATGGTTACCAGAGGGGAGGTGGGTGTGGGGGATGGGTTAAATAGGTGATGGGGATGAAGGAATTCATTTGTCGTGATGAGCACCAGGTGTTGTATGGAAGTGTTGAATCACTATATTGTACACCTGAACCTAATACTACACTGTATGTTAACTAAGTGGAATTTGAATACAAACTTTAAAAATTGCATTGAATTCTCAAAAGTAATTTAGAAATAACCAAAATATGTACCATTGAATAGTTGTGTGCAAAAATCCAGTGGAATTTTTAACTTTTCAAAACAACGAACCATAACACTTAGAAGATCAGTTTGAGAGACCAAAGACTCACTAACTTTACTTACAAATCACTTTAGGTAGAAGTTTCGTATGACACTGCTATATCTGTAAGCTTTGAGCCTATGATTTATGGGCACACTAAACAATAAAAAAGACTTGCAGCAAATTAACTAGATTGATGCAGAATGGAACCTCTTGCTTAGCGGAAGATGCGCAGGAATGTGCTCCTTGCCGCCCACAGCTCGACAGGAGGGACACAGTAACAAAACTAGTGAAGTTCAAAACATTTCCTGACATAAGCTGAGGCATGAAAAATGACTCATCTCGAGCAGTTTATTGGCATTTTTGAATTATCAGAGAGAAATTAGTTTGCTTCAGAATATAACATTAAATTAGAATAGAATGGTGGATTGACACAGGTGTGAAAGGTTCCATGTAGTTCAGCTGCTTCTAAGATTTGATATTTGACTTTACTGCGATCAATGTAAGTTCTTTTAACCAGTTTATTTAGCTTTGTTTCTGCAGATGTAAGTGGTTTGCTTTCTTTTTAAGCCTTATGTATCTCTTAAATTCTTCTTCAGAATTCTTAAAAATTTAGGAAATGCTCTTGATTAGGAAAATTTGAATTCTGCTGTTGATTTAACCAGTATAGAAGCTTAGGTGAACTGTTGAATTTTAATCATCTTATGCTCTATTTTATCTATTTGGAAAACATTAATGTTAATTTCCTTGTAAGATGCTTGAGGATTCTTTGATTAAATGCAAACTTTGCACAAGAAGCAGTTTATAATTAGGTATGATGGGAACCAAATTTTAATAGAAAGTCTAGGTGTTGAAACTGATATCAAATTTTTATCTCATTAATATGACCCTAGAAAAACAAAGCCAGTTCAATCCTAATTAACTGGTTTGCATTTTACATATTTTAGCTCTACAAATCACTTTTTGTGCACTCCTGCTAAACCTATACATTTGTTGATAAATGGTTATAAATTTGTTCTAGACCCTGGAAGCTGAAGACCACTGTAAAATGGTATCTTCGGCTACTGTGGGAAACACAACTGAGGCTCCCCAGCCACATCACCACCACCACCACCATGGTCATCATCACAACCATGAGCATCAGCATCATGGGATTGATGGGGTTTCAGAGAATCAGCAACCAGAAGCCCCAGATGCTGCTGAGCATCCCACTCCTTGAGGCCTCCATCGCCACCATAAGCACAAGAACCACCAAAGACAGGGCCACCCAGAGACCTGAGATCTGCCAGCAGGAAGTGAAAGTTTACAACTTTCTGTTCCACAGAGGAGGCTCTGATGAAAGGGATGTATAAATCAATTACTCTGCAAATTGCCTAAAGATTCAGGGTTGGCCCCTAACAGCTGTTGCTGACACTGACGACATCTGATATTTGAAAAAACAGGGTCTGCAATCACCTGACAATGTAAAGAAACCCTCCCCTCTTTATGCAGCTGACAGGGACTTTGGGCAGAGGAGAACGTCATTGAATCTTGACAGTGACGTTTGCCTCCGGCTGCCTGACAAGCAAGTCAGCAGCTTCAGCCCACAGAAGCCAGCGCCAGTTGAAGCTGAAAACATAAGGCCAAAATGTGAAAATGACCTCCATACTAAATACTTAAATAAGACACACTCCCCAAGTCAGTCTAGACAATTTCATTTCCAGCATTTTATAAGCCACCTAATTAATAATGACCCAAAAATAAGAATTGGATTTGTACAAACATGGAGAAATCTATCATACTGGCTTCCAAGTTTTAAAATTTAAGGCCAAGAAATTTTGACCCAAACCAGATTTTCATTATTTTATTACAAAGGTGATTGCAGAATTTGGTTATGTTTTTCTTTTTCTTTTTCCAGCATTCTGCTTGCTTTAATGAGAACAGAGACGTAAACTATGACCTAGGGGTTTCTGTTGGATAGTTAGCAATTTAGAATGGAGAAAGAACAACAAAGACATGTTTTCCATTTTTTTCTTTACTTATTTCTCAAAAAAATATTATCTTTGTCTTTTTAATCTTATGTTTTTAACTGACTAAACCTTTAAAGAACTCAGTGAATTCTGTCTTTAAAGTTCCAGAAATACTGACACATGAATATTTTGCTAGGACTACCTTTTAAATATCCATTTATGCTTTGTATATCTAAGAGTCATATCTTGATTTTTACTATCACATATGAATGAAGCCCTTATATCTTATTTTCCTTATCTAGCATTGTATCACACTCTTAAATTTGAGATAATCTGTCTGGAAAGTCGTAATGGAAAAGATAAAAGAATGTTGTCTATTTCTTGATTGCTTAGAAAGTATTTCCATAGTCAATGATGGTTCAGTAGGTAAACTAAGTCCTATAAGCCTGAACTCCTTTATGGTTAATACTATTAAGCAAGAATGTAGTACACGATTGGACAAATGTGGATTTGTTTAAATAAACTCAATTTAAAAAGTTTAAAGCTTTCTCTTTTTCATTGTTATTGTTTAGGCAGTATATTAATGACAAGCAAATTTTCAACTTCTTTTAAAGAAATTAAGTAGCAACTAATGAATTTACTGTCCTACTCAAAACCGTCTACGCTTAAGGTAAGAGCTTTTGCCAGTAGGGTTAAGTGGAGGATCTTTGCCAAGGGAGAGGCGTTGCTCTAAATCGTGAATGGTATTACGAAGAAATGCAATCTCCTTGTTTTTTTCTTCTTGCAGATGTTGAAGCTTCTAAATAAAGCAGAAAGAAATTTGTTACTGCAATTCAGAAATAGTAAGATTAAATACAAGAAACAACAAAACAGCAAAAACTGCATTTCTGGTTTAAGTAGATATTTTAAAAGACAGCTTATTTTGAAAGGTTTATAATTTTATTTTTAGAAGCTTATGGGGTAAAACTGGAATAAGGATACCAAAATACGTATTAGTACCATTTGTTCTAGTTCATTCCCTTCTCCCTATATAGCTTGAAGTTATAAACCATAAAAGAGGAGTTGAACAAAAAGAAATCTATTATCTGAGTGCCTAAATAACTTCAGAATAGTAGGTCAGCCCTAGTTCAGAATATATTACAGAATTCCTCAGATGGCCCAAAGAGTCAAAGACTTCTCTGATGTTTTAATTTACTGCTAAGATTTATTACTTTAAATTGAAGGTGACTTTTAAAGTTTTATTTATTTTACAGAAAGAGAGAATGAGCGTGCACACAGTGGGGAGGGGTAGAGAGAGGGAGAGAGAGAATCTCTCAAGCAGACTCCATGCTGAGCACATGGCCCAATGCAGGGCTCGATCTCATGTCCCTGAGATCATGACCTGAGCTGAAACCAATAGTCTGGTGCTTAACTGAGCCACCCAGTCACCCCAAACTGAAAATGACTTTTAAAGATTATTCAAAAGATCTTTCTGATTGTGTGGTATATTTTAAGAAAAACTGTTAAGTATATTGTTAGTAAACACTAGACAGCTTTTGTAGAAACACACTAAGAAACTTTATTTTCTTAAGCAATAGTTATGGAAGAAAATCTCACATACCCTTCTGTAGATACTCTGTGGCAAAACAGTAGAATCTGGATATGATTTTGGTTTAGTTTGAACTCTTGCTAGTTTGGCATCAAACTGAATCAAGTTTAAAAAGAAAGTTATTGAGAACATTCTAGCTGAACAACTTAAAAACAATTATTTCTATAAATAAGCATAATCTATTATATTTTTAAACATATAATCTGTAATTTAAGTATATTCTCTGTCTAACATAAGATAGAGAAGTCTTTCTATAAGAAACAATGTTTTAAGAAAGAGCAAAGAACACCCAAACAGGATTAACCTTGCTGCATGTTAAAATTACCTGGAGAGATTTTTAAAAGTACCAAATGCCTGGGCAGTACCTTAGAGATTCTGGGACAGAGTCAGCACAAAATTTTTGTTACGATATTAGGTAGAGAATCTAGATAACCAGGGTTGGGAATCTAGTTAACTTAAAGATGGATAAAAATATTTTCATGTTACCATGGATGTCCTTTTGTAAAGAAAACATAGTATAGTCAACAGTCATGGGGTAAAAACTCATATACCCTGCTGTAAACTCTTTGAGGCCAAGTAGTAGAATTTGGATATAATTTTGTTGATTTAGTTTGAAACTCTTACTGGTTTGACATTAAACTGAATCAGGTTTAAAAATTCTCACAGAGAGACAGACAGAACACAAACAAGGGCACTGGCAGGCAGAGGGAGAAGCAGGTTCCCCACTGAGCAGCGAGCCCAATGCGGGACTCGATCCCAGGACCCTGGGATCATGACCTAAGCCGAAGGCAGACGCTTAACTGACTCAACTGCCCAGGTGTTCCACAAAATCTTTCATTATAATTTTTCCCTTTAGGTTGAGGTCGGTGTAGCCTCTTTGTGGTCTAAAAACAAACTCAGTGAGATTGTGTTCTGGTTTAAGGAGGTAAATGGATAGTTACAATGAAGATGAATAACAAAAAGTTCTGTATATCAGTGTAAACAACAGACTTGGGCTAGACCAGTGACAGGGCCAAATGGCAAACAAAATGCACATTTTCAATAAAGGGATTAGAAGTTGATGGTAAGTCTTGAAACATGGCCTACGGGATCTCAGTTGGCTCCCCAGCCCTTCCCGTCTATGTGTCGTGGGCACATTGACCCGAGAAAGTAGCAGCAGCCAAATGCCTCTCAAGTCAGCATCAGCCCCCTTTGCTCAAAGGTTATATGGATTTCAGCATTGGACCTCACCAAGCACCCCAGAGATACCAAACTTTCATGAACATGAATAGTAAGCTAACTAAGCTGGTGAATTCTGGCAACACAAGGTAAAGTGGGAGTCAGGCTGGGGAAAAGCAATGGGAGAAAGATGGAAGTGGAGATGGGTAGAATCTAGATAAAAATTTTAAAAGAACAAATATACTGTCAAACATCCATGTCTTTGAGATTCTGACATCTAGTTAAACAAACTCCTGAAAGGGCTTTAGTGCTTAGAACTGGAACTGTAGCCTTTGAGATGCCCTATTTGAAGTCCCTTTAACATTAAAAAAAAAATCTGGTTGTCTGCCCATACGGTAAGCATTTTCCACACATTTATTAGGGAGCAACTTGTCTCTTTTTAATAAAGCCAAAGGAGTTTCTAATTGGTTAAGCAGAGTTGCACAGTTTCTGCTGAGGAGAGAAAAATGTTAAGGATTAGAAACATTCTCTCCACTGTTGGGATGGTAGACCTAATGAAGCTTGCATAGACTCAGCTACAGGTCTCCAGTCTCAGAGGAAACAGTACCCTCTGTGGAAACCAGGACCTTTTGAATGACTGAAGAGTCCCACCTTCAGGCCAAGTGCTGAAAGGCAGGGTAGCTAGTTGTATCAGATGTTTGAGAACTACATGTGATGGAGAGTAAGCCTGTGTGTGTGTGTGTGTGTGTGTGTGTGTCAGGGTTTTAACTACTGAAATTTATCTCACTGTGATGAAAAAAAACAACAAAGTCGAGTCTAGACTAAGGGATGCATCTTCAAATTTAGCAGACTCTTACACACTTACCTCTAACTGTAATTTGATTATTTCACTTTGTTTTTCTTTTTCTTGAGTTCTTAACTTTGCATTTAACTCTGAAATTTCCACCTCCTTTTTCTCTATTAGTTCTTTATGCTTTTCTTCATTTGACTCAACTGAACAAAAGTAAATAAAATTAATTCATCTTAATGTTTCAAAAATCTTATAAACTTGTATATCTTTAGCATTTTAAACAATCCACAAGAAAGTAAATTTTATTAATAAAAATATTTTAGAAACCATTTATATGCAGGGTAGCTTTTATATATTTTTGACAAGCCCTGACAAAATTCTTGAAACACAAAAATTACCCGTGAAGTGCTTTTGAACAAATAAACTGATTTGTATTCTTAAACATCAATTTTATATTATATATACATATATATGTAATAGAGAGAGAATAAATAGGAGACTTAGTAGTTAAAGAGGGACACAAAGCTTGGGTTCCTAGGTACAGAGGACTCCAAATTACTGGATGATTTTAGAGCTACATCAAACCCCTGCTAAACTCTATTCCACATGACTGGGCATCTGTCATATTCACACCACATCTCTAGGCTTCGTCAAATTTCCTCTTTTCTCAACTTTCTTATTCCTATTAATGACACCATGTCATTCAGGATGGGAGCCTCAAGGGAATTTCCAACTTTAGGGAGAAAAGAGTCAATTCATCCACAAGCCCTGCCAATAAGGGCTCTCCATCCAAGACCAATTCACTACTTACTTAGTTTCAAGCTCACTTGGACTCTGTGTCCAGGCTCTCAATCACAAGTCCCTACATGCTATACACTGTTGCCCGGTTAGTCTTCCTAAAGCATACCTCTAAGTATGGCCATCACCTTCTCAGAAACCTTTAATCACTTCCCATTTTTTATCCTACAATTCAAGGGGTCAAAGAATCCAGCTCTAGCCACAGTTTTTGGCTTTCCTCTTGCTAACCTTCCCATATGGCACAAAGAAAAGGTAGGAGATGGACTATTATTCCCTAAAATGTGCTATGTCTCCCCCTCTATTTGTCTTGGCTTTTATTTTCTCTCTGCTGAGAGACTCTTTTTTTCCCATCTTCCCCAATGAATCTGAGCCATATTCATTCTTTGGGATCAGGGCCTCATACTTAACAGTGTTAAAGGACAGAATTAGTAATTTTGATAAAGTTCAATTTAGAATTTTTTTCCTTTATTGTTTGTGCTTTTTAATTCTTTCCAAGAAGTTGTGGCTAACTCAAGTTCACAAAGATTATCTTCTATGCTTTCTTTTTTTTTTTTTTAAAGATTTTATTTATTTGAGAGTGAGAGCGAGCGAGAGAGAATGAGAGAGAGAACACGAGAGGGGATAGGGTCAGAGGGAGAAGCAGACTCCCTGCCGAGCAGGGAGCCCGATGTGGGACTCGATCCCGGGACCCCAGGATCATGACCTGAGCCGAAGGCAGTTGCTTAACCAACTGAGTCACCCAGGTGCCCTCTTCTATGCTTTCTTATAGCAGTTTGTAGATGTAGGTTTATATTCTGACTTACCATTTCCAGTAAATTTTTGCATATATTGTACATAAGTATAAGCCCATACTAAGAAAAGTTTCTATTACTTTCATGAAACCAGTTAACTCTCAACATAAGTTCATGAGACTTGCTTTAGTGAGGGAAGAAAATCTCATTACTGAAATAATATTCCATATGCAGACCATATAAATATCAAAGCTATTAATTATACATTTCACTGTAATCTTATAAGGACATTACCTGTTTCATATTAAGTAATGGTAATTACAAAAACCATAAATCCAGTTTAGAAATGTCATAATTTATTTCACATAAATATATAGAAAGGTACAAAACTTTAAAATGCATCAAGGCAATGTTCATTCAAGAAAACTGGCAATTACTGAAAAAAGTTTATACATGCATTTAAATTATTTTATGATGTCTTAGAATTTATTAAGTTAAAAATAAAAAACTTACTTTTTTCCTGCATATCCTGATGAAGTTTCCTTATTTCTATCTTATGTCCCTCCTCTTTGATTTTCATTTCACTCATAAGTTTGGCAATATTATTCTTATATTCCTAAAGATTAAAATATATATTCATTCCTCAATTACATATGTGACACACACAACCTTCCATTAATTAGAAAGGTGAAGTTCTCCAAGTTTATGTTAATTTTTAATAGTAATCATATCTAGAGGGGAAAGATATTGCTTATCACTTGAATAATCAGCTTTGAGAAGGATCAGTTTCTGGTCCAAGGAGAGAGAGACCATCTAGAGACAACATCTTCTTATCTTTGCTTCCTGAATACTCATCAGCAGTGTTTAACATATCATAGATGCTCAAAATATTTTGTTAATTGTTAACGAATAAATGCCATGATAGCATTAAAATATGTCTATTAAAGCCAAAGCTATACTTTAGAGCCAATAGTAAGTTCTGTTCGATAACTGGCAAGCTTAATGTAACATAGGATGAATCCTTTGAATGTGGCCTGAAGTTCTATTTCTGAAAATTATATATACATCCCTAATTCCCAGAAGGAGGTTAAGTACTACCCATGGTAAGGGTTAGCTTTATGAGAAGGAGGCTAGAGAAAGATGAATTTGGGAGTTGAGAAGTTCTCACCAGGTGCCTGTGATTGGTTTCTTAGGTTGCTGAAGCATAGAAGTGATTATTGTGCTAATGTGTTGGAAGAGAAAGCCCCTAAAGATAAAATTTACAATTTTTCCAGAGAGATGTTTCTACATAAAGAAACCACTCACAGGCCTAAGATGTAGGCAGGAAAAAGGAAAGCAGCAAGAATAAAAGTAAAAGAGGATACTAGGAAAGGTACATTAATGAAGGCAAGAGGTTCAAGAAAAGCTTCTAAACTAAACATCATAAAAGCAGGGACTTGGTTTTTACTTACCATTGTATCCTCAACTCCCAGTGTATATCTCTGGATAATATTTGTTGAATGAATAAGAGTGCCAACATGAATTATTTAAGTCAAAAGTTTCCTAGCCTAGGCCCAGTAAATGGGCTTTTGAAGATCCATTAACTTTTTGGAACTGTATGAAAATTAGACATATATATATTATATATACACACATGTGTACTATTGAGCATTTTGCTCAGAAAGTGTTCACAGCTTTCAACAGATATTCAGTGGTATTGAAGAGGTTAGGTGTCCATAATTAAACATGGAGGTACATGTGCCGAGATTATATAAGTTCAAGGGGAGATAGTGTGGATACCTACTTGTGCTACTCAACCCGCCTGGCAACTTGTAGGAATGGCCAAACTATCTAACCATTGGCTGTGATTAAAGCTTGGCAGGTGAATATAAAGGTGAATCTCATAATTGTCACTTTTCACATGCATGTATCTAGATTTCTAGATGGGCAACTACAGAGTGGCTTTCCTAAACTACTCCTGACTCAACTAAGCATTTGCTGCTCTGAGAAACCACAAGAGACAAGTCTATGTACGTTTTCATTCCCCATTGATTTTGCCGCGTGAAGATGCCATCACTGAAGTGGAAAGCGTCCATTAATTTGGAAAGACAGGATTTTCACTCCAGCCTCTAGGCATAAAGGTTATTTTAATATGTGGGCTTGGGCCTGGCTGTACCACACTAGGTTCTTCTCCCCAACTTTAGCCTGTGTCAGCTCTGAGGAGTCCAATTCTTTTCTCTTTCTAAGGGGACCAAGTCCCAACAAATTATTCTTGGTTGCCTTCTTTTCATTTGCCTTCTGGGAACTTTAAATTGCGAGGGAAAACCCCCATGTTGTGTTTTGTTTTTATAAAATTTAAGGATCCTCTGTATACACGTTACAAAACCTCTTCCAGTCTTACAGATAAGGCCATTGAGTACCTCCTGAGTGTTTTCCTAGAGAGTGGTTCTCCATATGTTTTGGATGTGCCTGGACATTTTGTACTAGAGACTTCTCATTGGATTGAGATCATCTTTAGTTTGCTTTGAACAGCTGCTAATTAAGAACTTCTGAATCTTGGATTATGGTATTTTCTCTTTAATCTCCACCGCTTTGAAAACTCCTAAAGTATCCTAGGCAAAGCAATATTCTATGGTTTGACATTTTAGAAGAGAAAGAAGGCAAACATTTCTCCCCCTTCTCTCTCTGCCCCAATTATACCCTAACTTATATATATATATATATGTATAGTTGAGCTTTAGAGGCAAATACGGAAAGAATGGGAAAGAAGAAAAGGGATAAAGGAAAGGAAAAATAAAGTGTGGGATATATTCCAGAGATATTTAAATTATCTCAAGTGTGGGACCAGATTGAATTTGGAAATGATCCTTCAAGTTGAAGTTCTAAGTTTGATAAAGATCCAATTTGAGTTTTGGAAACCTTAGGTGTGGCAGAGTTTGACATATTGGCTCCTGGGAGATGAGAAAAAAATTATCATAATACACCTCCCAAAGGGCAGTGGGAACTGACATTTACTGAGCACTTTTTATGTTTAGGTACTGTGTTACCTGTTTTATAATTGCTGCCATATGTTGTTCCCATGGAAGAAAAGAAAAAGTAGTAGAGGGTATGGTAGCCTTTGGGAGATAAATAATTGGTAATCCACATAAAATCCTCCTTTCATTTGGATGATGCAATAAAAGTACACAGATTACTCAAGTCAGAAAGATTAATGATTCATTTATTTTATAATAAAAAAAATTTTAAGTGCTAATTAACAGAGTATACTCTAGGTTTGCCTGTCTGGCTCAGTCAGTGGAGTGTGTGATTCTTCATCTCAGGGTTGTGGGTTCGAGCTCCATGTTGGGTGTAGAGATTACTTAAAAATAAAGTCTTTGAAAAAAATAGAGTATACTCTAGAGTAAAAATTCTATTAACATAATTTAAAATATGTAAATATGTAGCAAAATAGTTGCATTTCTTTTTGGTGGAAAGAAAACGTAAGGCAAGTGATATACTAGTGCATTATAGTCTGCAAAGAGACTAGAGTCATTCAAATTGTTATTTCTTTAAAGATTTTTATTCGTTAAAAATTCTGGCACACATATACACATACTTATTTCCTCTCCAAATTTTGGCTGTATTCATTAATGAGAACAACCCCCCTTTTCTTCTCATTTGAGAATACAAATGGTCTACAGGCATTTGATTGAATATAAAAATATATAAACTCACCTGTTCATGAAATTTCAACTTTTCTTTCATAAGATCAGCATTTCTTTTTAGTTGTTCATTTTCACCTGTGTAAAAAATCACCAGAGGGCATCCTAGTACCTAGTACTTTTTTTTTTTTTTAAAGATTTTATTTATTTATTTGAGACAGAGAGAATGAGAGAGAGAGAGCACATGAGAGGGGGGAGGGTCAGAGGGAGAAGCAGACTCCCTGCCGAGCAGGGAGCCCGATGCGGGACTCGATCCAGGGACTCCAGGATCATGACCTGAGCCGAAGGCAGTCGCTTAACCAACTGAGCCACCCAGGCGCCCAGTACATAGTACTTTTTAATTAATATGGGAAAATATTTAACATTTCAAGTTCCCATTCATGTATGCTTTCAATACATACATACAGCCTCTATTGCACATGAGGCTCTGTGCATAGCACTGGGAATGTTAAAGAAAATTGTAGCTCTTCAAAGAAAAGCCTGATGGTAAAACAGATGTGGAAGAAGTTACGATGTGCTATGATAATTGCTCGATAATGGCAGCATGTCTGAAAGACCATGGGAACCTGTGGAAGAAAAGCCTCAGTTGGCTTGAAGTCAGGAAAGGATTTACCGAGGAGGAGCCATTGGCAATGAGACTTAAATGATAAGGGTTACTCCACGCTGAAGGGAGGCATTTCACATACAGAAAACTGTACAGAAGCCTTCGGGTTCGAGTGAGGATAGCATGTTTGGGAAAATTACAATTCAAGTACAGTATTGTTAGAGTGTAAACCGTGAGGAGGAGGTACTAAATAGGTGGAAGCCATATCCTAATAGGAGGTGGACATATTCTATATGAATGACTTTATATTTTATTTTCTAGGTTATGGAGTCAAAGAATTTTGAACAGTGAAGTGAAATGATTAGTTACAGGTTAAAAAAATTATCTGGCAGTGTAAAGGATGAATGGGAGGGTTTTGACCCTAGAGAAATTGGTATCAGTAAAAATAGATCAAGTAAAATAACAGGAGCCTAAATTAGATCAGTGGCAGTAGGACATAAAAGGAAAATAAAGATAATTATTTAGATAGTAAGATGGTAAGATTACTAGGAGACTTAGTGACTGAATGGATAGCAGAGGCAAAAAAGAAAGGGGAACCTTTGCTTTGTAGGTTGGGTAATTTGTTTGGGTAATTGAAAAATGTTCATCGGTTTGCGAAAAATTAAAGGAGGAAGATTTTAGGAGTGAAATGATGAGTGTAGGTCTTTACTATGCTAAATTTGATTGCTTGAGATATCCAAGGAATATTTCTTTTTTTTTTTTTAAAGATTTTATTTATTTATTCATAAGAGAGAGAGGCAGAGGGAGAAGCAGGCTCCCCGCTGAGCAGGGAGCCCGATGCGGGACTCGATCCCAGGACCCTGGGATCATGACCTGAGCCGAAGCAGACGCTTAACCATCTGAGCCACCCAGGCGCCTTCCAGGGAATATTTCTGGTAGGCTGAGAAACATTTAGAAGTGGCCAAAGAAGAGTATCCTGTAAGGAGACTGAGAAGTGTCCAGAGATGCAGGGAGAGTGGTGATAAGAAGAGAGAGGTTAAAGGGGTCATAATCAGTGGCAATAAACACAATAAAAAGATCAAGCGAAACCACTTCAAATCTGAAAACTTTGGGAAATGCCCAATTATTATTATTTTTTTAAGATTTTATTTATTTATTTGAGAGAGAGGATGAGAGGAGAGAGAGAGCACATGAGAGGGGGGAGGGTCAGAGGGAGAAGCGGACTCCCCACTGAGCAGGGAGCCTGATGTGGGACTCGATGCCGAGACTCCAGGATCATGACCTGAGCCGAAGGCAGTCGCTTAACCAACTGAGCCACCCAGGCGCCCGGGAAATGCCCAATTATTGTAAGTTGAAGACTACGTGAAGATGAGGACTATGTGAAGATGAGGAAATGGATAGTGAGTACAGGCCATTCCTTTGAGATTTGATTGTAAAAGGAAAGAGTGAGGGCAATTGGAGGGAATAAATCCAAAGTCAAGGAAACACTGTTTTCTTGTTTAAGAGATGGGAGAGATCTGAGTTATTTAAATGCTGAAGGAATGGACAGCAGAAAGAGAGAAATGAAAAACAGAGAAGAAGGGACAATTGAAGACGCAATACTCCAGAAGAGAGATAAGAGTTAAACCCAAGTGGAGGAATTAACTTTGGATAGGAAGAAGGATTTTTTTTTTTTTTAAGTGAAGGAGGAAGGTAGTAAGGATATGTCCAGGTATGTATATATTTAGAAAGGGTGCAGTGGAAAGAAGAGGTAGTAGGTTATAAGAATGAGTTAGTTTATGAGATTATGTTGTAGATGATTTCCATATCTGTAGGCTCATGACGTTGGATGAAATAACTTTTATTGTCTATTCCGTCTATGCTTCCATATTGAGAAAGGGGAAATTTAGTTTTAAACTTGAATAAATAGGACTATTTTGATTGCTCATTCAAAGCACCAAAAGAGATTGATAGCTTTGAAGTTTTTGGATAAAAGATTATGGAGAATGTAATTATTAATGATATTTAGGCCATTTTATGTGTGGAATTTTTTAAGTTTGCCTTTTTAGGAGACCCTAGTATTTTCCCAGCATTAAGTGTCTGCCTTCGGCTCAGGTTGTGATCCTGGAATCCCTGGATGGATCGGGATCATTGGATCATCGGGCTCCCTGCTCAGTGGGGAGTCTGCTTCTCCCTCTGCTCCTCCACCCACCTTGTGTTCTCTCTCTCCCTCAAATAAATAAAAATCTATAAAAAAGAACGAGGTAGTTTATGTCTGACAGCTTTCATTTTTTTTTTCTTTCAGTGAAATAGAAAGTAAAATAAGTTGAAAAAGAAAGAAACATTTAAAGTTGGGGGTTTGAAGAGTGAAAAGTTTGAAAAGCGAGGATAAATGAAGGGTATAATTGAAACTGAGATTTATAAATTAATGTGGGTCTGTAATGTATGATTTTTTACCAGTTACCTTCAGTAACTGTAGCATTATAAGTAAGCAGATGTATGGTTGGATTGATCCATTTTGAGGATTAGTCTACCTGGTATTAGAAAAGGTAAGGAAAATAAAACCATTCCCAAAAGAGAAGATAAATGATATTCTAAGCTAGATATCTAAGCTAAAAAGGGAGGAAGGTTTTATCTTACAGCAACATTATTGAGAGCATAGTTATATTTACTTAATGTTTTTTCATGTAAAACTTAAATAAACAATGAAATGAAATGTATTAAAATACAGTTTGGCATCTTTAATTTGCCCTACTGTTTCAGACCTACCATAGTCAACATCTTTTTATATATAACCAAAAGCCATCTCCTGACACCAGAGGATGAAGAAGGAGCAGTGCTTGACAGTTTTCTCTACTCATTCTTCTTAAGTTCTAGGTGTTTTAAGGAAAAGCAGATATACCTAGACCAGGAAAGAGCCCATTCTGATATAGTGTGTGATGAGGGTTCAAAACAGAGCCAGGATCTGCACCTAAGCCAGACATAAAAGGTGCTCAAAGCTAAAATTAGGCCAAGAGTAGGCATGGCACCAAGACTGTAATTCAAAACCATTGTGAAATAGAGGCCAGGGCTTGAGTTCAGTGATTAACTGGGACCAGTGACAAGGCTGAATCAGACACTAGACCTGGGTAACAGTAATCCAGTTCTGTATTATTTGGAATCAGTTTGTCAATATCCACAAATAACTTGCCAGAATTTTGATTGGGATCACACTGAATTTATAGATCAAGTTGGGAAAAACTGACATCTTGACAATATTGAGTCTTCCTATCTGTGAAAATGGACCATTTCTCCATTTATTTAGTTCTTTTTTGATTTATTTCATCAGAGTTTTGTAGTTTTCCTTATATAGATCATGTACATATTTTGTTATATGTATACCTAAATATTTCATTTTGGGGCTGTCAATGTAAATAGTATTGTGTTTTTAATTTCAAATTTCACTTGTGCATTGCTGGTATATAAGAAAGCAATTGACTTTTGTATATGAACCTTGTATATTGCAACGTTGCTATAATTGGTTACTCTAGGTTTTTCTTTTCTTTTTTTTTTTTCAAATATTTTGGATTTTTGACATAGATGATCATGTCATCTATGAAGAAAGACAGTCTTATTTCTTCCTTCCCAATCTGTATACCTTTTATTTCCTTTTCTTGTCTTATTAACTAGAACTTTTAGTTCAATGTTGAAAAGGAGTGGTGAGAGAGGTTATCTTTGCCTTATTCTTGATCTTAGTGGGAAGCCCCTAATTTCTTACTACTAAGTATGGTGTTAGCTGTAGACTTTTATAGATTTTTTTTTAAAATCAAGTTGAGTACATTTTCTCTATTCCTAGTTTACAGCGATTTTTTTTTTAAATCATGAATGGTGTTGGATTTTGTCAAATAATTTTTCTGCATCTACTAATATGATCATCTTTTCAGTTGTTGGTGTTCTGGATTAAATTAATGGATTTTTAAATGCTGAACCAGTCTTGCATACTTGAGATAAATCCCACTTTGTTGTAGTAATAAGCCTATCAAAGCATTCTTCATTTCTGTTACAGTGTTTTTGATCTCTAGCATTCCTTTTTGTTTCTTTCTTAAGATTTCCATCTTTCTTACTTACATTGCCAATATGTTCTTGCATGCTGTCTGCTTGATCCATTACAGTACTTAGCATATTAATTATAGTTTTAAAATTCCCAGTTGTTTTAAAATTCCCAATATCTCTGCCATGTCTGCATGACATGGGTCTGCATGACGGACTCTTGCTCTGTCTCTACAAATTGTGTGGAGTTTTTTTGCCTTTTATTTGGGCTAATATAATAGTCTGGGTTCACCCTAACATTTTTTTTAATTTAAATTCAATCAGCCAACACATAGTACATCATTTGTTTCAGATATAGTGTTGAACAATTCATCAATTGCGTGTAACACCCAGTTCTCATCACAGCACGTGCCCACTCCCATTCCAATTGGATTTTCAAAGCATGGGGACACAATTAATAGTCATGTAACCTGATAGTGGTGAAATGTGTCTTGTTAGTAGAATGTATGTATTTTAGAATTAGGAA